ACCTCTTGTGCATATATAATTATGCATGTTCATTTTAGATATTCATATGATATAAAATTAATACATTATTTTCAAAAGTCTATATGCAGCCAGTAAAGCCCAATTAACAGGATCATTTGTGAGATTCATTGTCTGTCTACCAAAGATCATTTTCTATTTTCTTCCTCTACAATTACTAAAATTAGTAAATACAAATATTATAAAATTTTAAAAACATATGAAGTTGTATATAAAGTAGGAGCATACCTAAATTGCAGAAATGCCAGAATACAGGCATAGAAGATTTAATTCGCTAGCAACATTATTTTAGGAAACTAAATTACTCAAGAAAAGTAAGATAAAAATTAACATTTAAAGACTTTCATATGAAATTTTCACTACTGAAACCAATGAGAGCAAAAAGCTTGCTTTGATTTGCATCTGACTCCAATAGCTTAAACATTATTTATTAAACCACACTTAATGTATTATTCCATTAGGTCTCTGACATGAAGGAGTTTGCCCTGAGTTAGGGAATTGAGATTTACTACTAAATAATATACAGGAATAAAATAATAAAAGTATTGCAATGAGTACATGAACAACTGCTAAATACCGACTGGTGAGTTCAAGGGAGAAGCTATTCTCCTTGGACTTTTACTTCCTGAGGAGTCTTTCTGGAGGTGGAACTTAGGCACTTTAACTGTAAGGCTGAAAGAAAGGAAAATACAAAGGGAACAAATTGGGCAAAGGGTGGAATATGAAGGTGCACTGAGGGCAGTCATTTGATTACAGTAATTACAAAGCAATGAGGCACATATAGTTGAAAAGATCATTTGGGCAGGAATGAGATTGATTAGTACAGTGCCTGATCAGTCCTTGATGAATTTAACTGATCTGATGATTTTACCCTAAACTTGCATTTTGCATTCAAGTAAAACATGTAGCTAGAGATCTCCTAGAATTTTTGGTGTTGTTTTTCCTCCTGACTGGCGCTGTACTGTGCCATGGCTACAGGATATTTGGTGGTTCTCCGATATTGCAAATATGTTTCCTCATACTAGATGGCATTAGTGTTCTTGCTTTTGTTTTTCATAGTTCAAGAGGTAATCCCAGTGTCATCTGCATTATTCAGACAGAGATTATATATATGTATTAAAAGGTACATATATATATATATATATATACACACACACACATATATATACACACACATATATATAGATCACCTTTTAAATACATATATATAATATACATAGACATATATATATATATAGATCACCTTTTAAATATGTTAGCCTTTTCTAACAGAAGAGAGTACAATTATGCTTTCCTGACTTCTTAATAAATATAAGAATTATTTCTACCTAAAATTAATAAGTGTTCTTAGAGATAAGCCACCAATACCACAGGTGAGATATATATATTTATATATATATATATTTATATATAAATATATATAAATATATATAAATATTTATAAATATATATAAATATTTATAAATATATATAAATATATATAAATATTTATAAATATATATAAATATATATAAATATAATATATGTGTGTGTGTGCGTGTGTGTGTGTATGTATATATGTATAGTACTAGGTGACCAGCACAGCCTTGTCCTTGTGATTTGTCGTGCATTTTCCCCTTCAATGCTTGGTGTCCATTGCCCTGAAGCCCCAGCTCCCTGAACACAAAGCCTATCTTTAAAGTGAACACAAATGACATGTTAATGGTTTGTAAAAACACAAAGTAGGGGGTTAATGACCATAGTTGAAATTAAGGACTTCATTTCCATCAGCTCAGCAGGGTTTGAAACATCCAAAGAAAGCTCAGGAATGAGGCCTTGCTAATGCACCTGCTTCCTGGCATGAGGGCAGCTTAACATTAACTTTCAGTCAATGATCCATAGCTCTCTTGAGGAAACTTACTATTCTTCAATTCACTGGGACGTGCTGCTCCCTACCAACTTACGATGGCTTCCTATTACTCGGATACCAGCTGGGAGCCTGATACCCAGTTAGGTTTTCATTTATGAGATGCTTGGATGATAATGGATGCCACAGTCAAGTAAAGATTTTTATTCATATCTGTGAGGTGATTATAGCCTGCTTCAGAAAGGGATGACTAGTGATTTGGACAGGGAGATGGTACCTCTGTATTTGCTTCCTCCCCTACCTCTCTAGATATATTTTCTTTCTAATGAACTCTTAACTATGCCACCCTACTCTTGAAACTATTCAATGGCTTACTGTTGCTTTTAGAATGGAGACTAATTTTCTTAACATGGGCTATCTCCTGCCTGCTTTGACCCCAGCTGACAGCTCTAGTATCTACTCATATTGAAATTTACTTTACTCTCTGTTCTTCTCTCAGAGTGTCTCTCTTTCAGAAAATCCGGGGTCCCTTTCTGGGCCCTGCCACAGGATTTTACATTTGTTGCTACAGTTTTCCAAAATGTTCTTGCCCCTTCTTCATGTAACTTACCCTTATCCTCGGGAAAGCTCTTCTCTGATCTCTCTAGTTAGGTCAAATAAAATGCTTCCTTGAGATAACAATAATAACATCATAAAACTCAGTTGTATTTATTAATATAATTTTTTAGTGTCTATTCTTCCTCTAGATGGTAAGTTCTGTGGAATCAGAGAAAGTCAGTATTGTTCACCTTGGATATCTGCTTACCTGGCACATTGACAAGCAAATAGAGGACACATTAAATATTTATGGAATATAAGGATATTTAGAAGAAATAAAATTACAGCAATGAAAAGCACCACATATGTGTGTATGTACATAAACACACACACGCACGCATATATAGTACTTTTACAATTAGAGGATTATAGAACACATCAAAGAATGTTAGAACATGAAAATGAGACACTAGACTATAAAGATAGTAGGTCTTTTCGGAAAAAGATTGAACAGCCAAAAGAATGAGAATTGAATCAAAAGAAAAACACAGCAATTAAAGCTGGGATCACAGTAAAACATTATTTTAAATTTCTTACATTGATCATATAACCTACAATTTATGCAAATCTGATACATTCTTATAGGTTATTAAATTGCATGGTTAGAGCTAAATCTGTGGCATGGAATTATCGTGACACAGACTAAATGCATTGCATGCTTAAAGATCACCTTTTAAATAATATGTCAGCCTTCTCTGACAGAAGAGAGTAAAATTATGCTTTCCTGACTCTTAATAAATAGAAGAGTTATTTCTACCTATAATTAATAAGTGTTCTTAGAGGTAGATAAGCCACCAATACCACAGGTGATGCTAATTCAAGGTTAAAATAAAAATCCTGGTCTTTTTTTCCCCCCAGTGTAAGACCCGTGACAGCCGTATGCTAGCATACAGCAGGTATGTGCTGCATCTCAAATATCCCTAGTTTCACTTTCTTCCTTCTGATCAAGGACAGATTTAATTTGTAGGCCCTGCCCTTGTCACTGTTAAGCTGACATGAATAAGAGGACCCATTTCAAAATGATTTTAAGTTTTCAAAAAATGAAAGCATATAGAATATACTCCAAAAAAGTTTGACCTCAGAACACTGCTTCATACCAACGATACTTAATATGGTCTGGCTCTGTGTCCCCACCTGAATCTCATCTCAAATTGTAATCCCTACATGTTGAATGAGGGACCTGCTGGGAGGTGATGGGATCATGGGGGAGGCTTTCCTCCTTATTGTTCTCATTATAGTGAGTGACTTCTCATGAGAACTGATGGTTTAAAAGTGTTTGGTAGCTCCTTCCTCCCTCTCTTTCACTTCTGCTGCCGTGTAAGATGTGCCTTGCTTCCCCTTCACCTCCCACCATGATTGTAAATTTCCTGAGGCCTCCCTAGCCATGTAGAACTGTGCGTCAATTAAACCTCTTTCCTTCATAAATTACCCAGTCTCAGGCAGTTATTTATAGTAGTGTGAAAATGGACTAATATAACATTTAATATTTTTAAAAGCCAAATCATTTTCTGCTTAATCATGTAATACAAATAGACAGTTAACAATAGGAAAATCACCATGAAAATGTGTGTTCTGCAGTATCATCTACTTTATTTCACAACATACTACGTATACACTGATAGTGCGGTTTGGATGTGTGTCCCCTCCAAATCTCATGTTGCAATATGATTCCCAATGTTGGAGGTGGGGTCTTGTGGGAGGTGACTGGATCATGGAGGTGGATTCCTTATGAATAACTGGACACCATTCCTTGGTGATAATTGAGTTCTTGCTCACTTAGATCTGGTTCTTCAAAAGAGTTTGGGACCTCTCCCATTTTTCTCTTGCTCCCTCTCACTATGTGATATGCTGGCTCCTCTTCCCTTCTACCATGATTGTAAGGCTCCTGAGGGCTTCACCAGAAGCTAATGTTGGAACCATACTTGTACAGCCTGCAGAACTGTGAGCCAATTCAACCTCTTTTTATAAATTACCCAGTCTCAGGTATTTCTTTACAGCAATGCAAGAGCACATTGATACAGATAGACATGTATATCAATGTTAATTGCCAGGTCTGTCCCATAGACCCTGGCCGACTGACGGATGAAATGAGTACTCAGACACAGGTATGTGGTGTAAGAGCAGGTAGGGGAACTCCTGGCTCTAGTGGCCAAAGTGCAGCAGCCCTGAAAAGCTGGAGCTGCTTACTTTTATTCAGTGCAGGCACAATGCTGAAAGCCTGAGGCAAATGCAATCTGCAGGTAATTAACATTTATTGTTCCCCCTTTGCGGGAGCAGTCACTTGCAGGGATAATGGAAGGTCAGTTCCTGGACAACGTAAGTAACAAGCGTGTTAAGATAAATTCCCCTACACTCCCTTGTACTGTACCTACTCCTTGCCCTCCCCCTCAGGGTTATAGAGCAGCTGCCTTCAGCGATTCTCCCCAGAGCTTTGCAGAGCCTTCTGACCTTCCAGAAGGACTGTACCTTTCCCTATAGTTCCTCCCACCACTCTGACTGATCTCCTAAATCTCCCCATTTTCTCTTTTTTTCCCATCAGGTTTGGTTAATTGAAGAGTACAGATGTGCGCAGCACCAGGCTTGACAAGGGCAGTGGTTACAGCTTGTGTTCCAGCTTTGCATCCTAGAACCAGTAGGTAACATGACAAACATAAGCATAATCAGTAATATTGTTTTCAATCAAAGAGTGACCCCCAGGAGTGGGGGTCTATCCAGGAGATGTGTTTTTGCACATTGTTCTATAGGCCTGTTACTGAGGAACCCCACCAGGGGTATGTTAATTCCTCATAGCCAGTCAGTCACATTGTTAGAGACTGGGAAGGGGGTGTCTGCCCAAGTAACAGGGCAGAAAAAAGGTGGATCTAGAAGATGGGCAAAATAGAGGGTAGCAGGTGCACGCTGCAGGCAGAGTGAGAGAATAAGAAACGTTAATACACTACAAGAGTTGCAATGTACAATAGCATAGCAAGGAACAAATTATCTGGAGTGAATGGTGTTTGTGTCTGGAGCAGGATTCACTCAGCCTCCTGAGTTTTCTTCTGAATCCCCCAGGTAATGTCTAGGGCCTATGTCATCTGAGGAAGCCATATTGTCCAGGGCTACAAGCCCTGCAGGATCATTTCCTTCATTTGTGGTACTGGGTTACGTCCTTGCCACACCATGGTAAGGTTTGATATATTGTGTTGGAATCCAAAGAGGACCTGAGGGAGTGTGAACACAAACGTATCGCCTTCTCCAAGTTAGCAATTATGTGGACATTACTATTCACATCTTTCCATAAAAACAAAGATTTTATATCTTGAGTGATTTTTGCAAATTGCTTTTCTATAACTGATTAAAATTATCTAAATTTAAGACATTAAAGGTAAATAAGGCTTTTGCCAATAGTGTTGCAAGGTCCTTACTCCTATTTTCCCTTTTTTGTTTTCTGAGCATATTTTTAAGTGTGGAGTGGGCATGTTCTACTATGGCCTGTCCTTGCGGGTTGTACGGGATACCCGTGGAACGTTGGATGTCCCATGTGTGACAAAATTGGTGTTAGCCGGACCATTATTAGTTTTAATCTTAGTGGGCTGCCCCATAAATGCAAAAGTTAAGAGAAGATGTTTAATAACATATTGGACTTACTTTCCAGGAAGAGCATGTGTGCTAGTCAGGTGGAAATAGATATCATCAGATACATGTACATATCTTAGTTTTCCAAATTCAGGGACGTGTGTGACATCTGTTTGCCATAACTTATTCGTTTCTAGTTCTGTAGGGTTAACACCTGTTGAAGGAGGGGATGTGCCTGTGAGGTGGCAATCTGGACATTGCAGGATAATTTGTTTAGCTAGTCTTTGGGTAAGTTGAAATTGTTTAGTTAAGTGCCTCCAAATTTGGTGGAAAAATGGATGTGATTGGGTAGCGTGGTCAAGCAGTGATGTCACAACCTGCAGATCTGCTTGATCATTGCTATACACTAGTGGACTGGGCAACAAGCTATGGGCCCGAATGTGTGTAATAAAAATAGGATGTATATGTCGATCAGCAATTCCGAAGTTAAAGAAACGGCACATAGGGTGGGCTCAAGAGTGAACTTAATGAGGGCTGTTTCAAGCTTTTGCAATAAAAAATTGCAGTAAGCAGAGTCACTAACAGTCTTGATGGGCTGAGCGGAAAAGGTTTCCAGAGTCAATATTAGCGCTCCAACCTCAGCGCTCTGAGTACTAGTAAATTCAGACCAACAGAGAGTTATGCAGTTCCCACCAGATAGCTGCTTTTCCATCTTTACCAGAGCCATCAGTGAAAAGCATTAAAGCGTTAGGTCTAGGGGAGTGAACTACTTTTGTAGGCATAAGTACAGGAACATGAGCTAAGAGCTGGAGTCGTTTGTCAGTGGAAGGGCGTGTTCTATATGGCCTGCATAATCAGAGAGTGCTATCTGAAGGCCTAGATAGAGGGACAGGACAGCTTCCAATCGTTTTTTACTCAAAGTTATTCTTATGACTTCAGGGTCATAACCTTGCACTTGATTGCATTGTTTGCAGCCTGTTTGTGCCTGCAGTGAATAAAAGTAAGCTGCTCCAGCTTTTCTGGACTGCTGCATTTTGGCCACTAGAGCCAAGCTGTCCCCTACCTGCTCTTACACCGCATACCTGTGTCTGAGTACTCATTTCATCTGTTGGTTGGCCAGGGTCTGTTCCTTTCTCTATAGTTTCTCCCACCACTCTGACCAATCTCCTATAGTTAACAAAGATGAAAAGACTATTAGTTTTTTATAGTGAGATCAAGTCACATTTACTAAATAAAAACAAGTATTTCTAGTGATAAATTTTAATAAAGCTTTATGACTACCTGTATCAATTTTTGGGATACATGTCTAGTTCTTATGGATATATAGAACCACATTTGCAATAAAACAAATATAAAAATGTTATTGATTGTGGCTTCTTCCATTTCGAGACTCAGGTTACTAGAATGGTAAATTAGAGTTTAGAAACAGGAAACCTTAAAACTTTTTTTTTCTTTAAACCCAATTGCCTTCCTATACTTTGAACTCCTCAAGTGCAGGGCCTTATTTATTTTCATGTTCCATCTCTGAATGAAATAACTGATGCTAGCAGCTATAACAAACAACATCAAAATCTCAGGAGCTTAACAAAATAAAAGTTCCTTCTTGCCCACAAATTAATCCAGTCCAGATACTACTGGGAAGGCAGATGCTTGGGTAACATTGTCGAGTGTGTTTCCTCTAAGTGGTGACTTAGAGATGAAGTTCTTAATGCCGTATCACCTTTAAATGTCCTTCCAGATTGCTGCAAAAATAGAAGACAGAGTGAAAAGTCTTGTGTGTGAGATTTTCATGAAACATATCTGGAAGTGGCATATATTGCTTCTACTGGCCAGAACTTAGTTACAGTGCCCCATCTAAATGCAAGGAATTCGAAAAAATGTTGTTTAGTTCTGTGCCTTGGCTGTAAGTGGAGAGAAAAATAATAGTCTCTGAAAAACCCAACACAGAGTAACAGCACAGCAGTTACTTGACTTATATATACCTAGCTGAGATGATGTGGAAAATATAGAGAAGAAAAGTGTGTTTTATCATTCTCAGTAAAAGAATGTATGATATAATTAGGGAACAGACACATATGAAACAATGTGTGAACAAGGCAATATAATATATGCCAGTGAATCACTGTACTGACTGACATCGTTAAATGTCAAGTTATATAGTACAAACCACCTGAGGCAGGATAGTATCCAATTATGAGTTATTATTGTTTTGTAATACACCATTAGTAAGTGAAATAGGAATTTGACTTGAGAGATTTTTGTGGATAAATGTTGTTGGCAAGGTCTTCTAAAGAAGCAAGAACTGGAGGTGAGCCTTGAGGAATAGGTGAGCCATGGATATTAGTGGCGTTGGTTGAATGAGATAGATGGGAGAGATGGGGAGATAGAATTGACAAAAGCCTTGATGGGTGAACCTGGTGGCCTGTGTTGTTTTATAGGATTAGTGTTAGAAATAATAGAAAATAAATCTAAACAGGCCAAGATGGGTTGAGTGGGGCATTAGAAATTGAGAGCCTTTAAATTAGAAAGAAATGTTGAAACTCAATGTAAGAGGTTACAGTGAGCGCCCTATACATTTAGAAGTGCATTTTCAAGACTGGCCTAATGAGAAGATAAATTTAGCAGTGGAGTTCTGTATGGTGTGCCAGTGATACAGACTTGAATGGCAGGCTGTGGTGAGACGAGAGCTTTAGAAGTCATCATTCAAAGATGAGATCTTATGAGTAATGCCTTCTTAATGATTTTGTTGTATACCCAGACTAATTGGCTTGTGGATTTCATTTCTCCTAAGCATACACTGACTTTGGAAACTAGAAAGTATCACCATTTACCTTTTTTGACTGTATGGGTTATCTATTGCTATGTAACAAATAACCTCCAAACTTAAAGATTAGAAAAAAATGTCATTATCACATACTGTTTTTGATATCTATATCCGCACTCAAAGTTTTGACTGTTAAGAATTTGAAAGCGGTTTAGCTGGGTGTTTGTCCCTCGGTTTCTCTCATGGTGTCCCATTCAACCTTTTGGCTGTGACTGCAGCTATCTGGGAAACTTAATTTAGGCTAGGGGATTGTATTTAAAGATGGATCACTCACATAGCTGCTGGTTGGAGGCCTCAGTTTCTCAACACAGGAACCTCTTTACAGGGTTTCTTGAGTGTCCTCATGGTATGGCAGCCATATTCTTCCAGACTGAGTGATCCAAGAGAACAAACAAAATAAAAGAAGCCATAGTGCCTTGTATTATGATGTGGTCTCAGACGTCATGTACCACTACGTCTGCCATAGATTATTTGTTGGGAACAAGTCATTAAGTGTAGCTTGTGTTCAAGTGGAGTGAGACTGAGTTTCTACCTTTTCAAGAAAGGAGTATCAAATAATTTATGGACATATTTTAAAACTACCACAATAAGTTTGCATTTGTCTGTATCTGAAGGGATCTACTGCAAAATTATTTTCCATTTGGATTATTACTAATTCTAAGTCAGAAGTTTGGATATTTTCTTTCTTTTCTTCCTTCTCTCTCTCTCCCTCCTATGTTCCATCCTTCTTTCCTTTGACATGAGAATTTACATAGATTTTGCTTACCGAAGAAAAAACATTTTGAATACCATTTTACATTTTATTTCCTTCTAGCCCTCTAAAGTTTTTTTCTGTATTTAACTATACCCTCCCATGCTTCATAGAATTCTTTTCTTCATTTCTTAAGTGGAACCTGAGTCTCTTTTGAGGATGACATTCTTTTTCTGTAATACTCTTGAGTAGAGGCCACTTATTCTTTTCTATCTCATTCATCTAAAAGCCCAAAGTTAGAAACACCACATTTCTGACTTCCTATGTCACATATAAATCACTGCTCTTTCACTTTTCCAATAAAATTTTTTCTTTTAAAGTTATGTCATGAGGCTAAGCCACCTTCTTTCCTGAAGCTAGAAATATTCTTCACCCCTTTACCACTTGTACATTGTCTTCTTTCTAACGACCAGGAGACTTCAGGATCCTTGTCTTACAGCATGTAAGCCTTGCCATGTTTTAACTTCATAAGCCCAGGGTCCCTCCCCTCTGCTCTGCACCA